ATAAAATCCGAAACAATTAAGTCCCTTTTAAGTAACCGGTTTAACGTACAAATCGTTAATGCACCGCCTCTTCATAGTACATCGAACGGACAAGTGGAAAGATTCCACAGTACACTGACAGAAATTGCACGGTGCTTAAAAATTGAAAGAAGTATTGAAGACACTGTTGAACTAATACTTCTCGCGGCTATAGAATACAATAGAACTATTCACTCAGTAACAAATAAAAGACCCATTGACATAATACACTCATCGACCATTGAGCTCAACACAGAAATTAGGGATAAAGTCTTAAATGCCCAGAACATTCAACTACAAAGATTGAACAAAACAAGACAAGACAGAAATTTTCAGGTAGGAGACAAGGTTCTTGTGAAATCAAATAAGAGGTTGGGAAACAAACTTTCAGATTTGTACTCCGAGGAAACCGTCGAAGCAGACTTAGGGACCACAGTCTTAATAAAAGGGAGGGTGGTCCATAAGGACAATTTGAGGTAATTACAATAAATCTTATTTTTCTTTTTATTTTTATCTTCGACACACTAGGATTTGGATGATTCTACTCCTCGCCGTACCAATAGCAGCTAAAATGACCGACTACACGACCTCAAATTACATACCAATCATAGACGGGCATGTGACTATTTGGAGAGACTTCCAATACCTCAAACACTCAACCAACTTAACCATGTACTCGGAAATAGTTAAAGAAACAGAAGAAATGAGAAACCATTTCCCCCAGTCACATATGAGGCAGATATTAGACTCAGATTTACGACACATTAAGACTCTCATAGATACCGTAAATGTTCATCATAGACACGCTAGAAGCATAAATTTATTAGGCACCGCATTAAAAATCGTAGCCGGTACTCCAGATTTTGATGACTTTGAGAACATTAAATTTAGGCAGAAAGAACTCATAGAATCAGAAAGCAGACAAATAAAAATTAACACAAAGACCCAGGAACAAATAAACATCCTAACGAACACGGTAAACATTTTAGTAAAAATGCAAAAGCAAAACAGATAAATACAGAAAATTTATATGAGAACTTGCTATCAAGAAATAGAATTATTATTTCCGAACTCGAGGCCTTAATGTTGTCGGTTACTCTTGCAAAAATTGGAATAATCAATCCCGCGATTTTAGACTCAAATGACTTACAAAATTTAATCAATGAACATTCCACAAATGTTACTATAACCGATCTAATGGAAGTAGCTCAAATTAAAGTTTTATTAAATAATAACTTTTTACACTTTATATTAAAATATCCTAAGCCCTACATAGCTTGTAAGAAAATAATCTTGCACCCCGTTGAACACAACGGCACTATTCTTAATTTTGCCGAAGGCGATAGTATAGCTGACTGCGGTAACAAAATCATGCCGATTGGAAACTGCAGCGCTGCCCTTACGACAACATTCTGCAGAGAACTGCCCTATGCAACATGCGCACAACAACTCCACTCAGGAGGCAACGCTCACTGTTCGACTCGCACCAGCCACCTCGAGCCACTAACAATTATCGATGACGGCGTTATTATTCTCAATGACGGAACAGCTACGGTCAATGGACAACTGGTAACTGGAACGTTCCTCGTTACATTCGACGAGGAGGTAAAAGTAAACAACACCTTATACCGAAACTTGAAGAGCTACGTAAAAAAATTCCCAGCACCCGCTGCATCAACGGTCCTTAACATTACAGACCATCAGGAAATACTGAGTTTACCATACTTACAGAAATTAAACATAGAAAACCTACGATACATTGGCGAAATGGAAAAGAGACTGGAAAACCGGCCTATAATATCTGGAGTGGCCGCGATCGCTTTCTTCGCCATCTGCTTTATCATTTTCAAGCTCTACCAAAGACGCCAGCGAGTTCGTCGCCAGCATGACCTTCAAGTTATTATTGACGGTTTCAAGAAGTCCGAGGACGTCCTTCATCTAAGCGGGGGAGGAGTTAACACGGTCACCCGGCAACAGAGAAGTTGCCAAACTGATCACGCGTAGCCGGCATGAGAATAATGCAAAGCCAGCGACACCTGCGGATATTGCACAACGACGGTAGCAGAAGCCCAAGCTTCGGTCAGCGCTATCAGCGGGCAATGCACTGCGACGCAACCGACGGCTACCCAACACCACACACGGGGCGCCGGGTCAGCACTTTCAGGGCATAGGGCTAGCTTTCATTATAAGAATTTATGTACTTAGTATTTAGTTGAATTTTGGAAATAAATCGTGACGGTCATCGCCTCCCGAAACCTAAGTAAAAAAAAAAATAAAAAAACTTTTCACAGTTTTTTTCCCCCCGTCCCCCCGTTTTAATTAAAAAATTAATTAAAGAAATTTTTTTTTTTTTTTCTTTTTTTAGGAATGCTTAAATTCCCTTAAAAAAAAAGCCCAATTCAAGCGCAGAGCAACCTTCTTCATTTTAAAAAAAAAAAAATTATTTTTTTTTTTATATAAAACCCAATTAAAAACCTTTTAAATGCGCATCTCTGCGACTGAACGACCGAACTCGTACAAAGCGCGCGAGAGTCAAAATGAGAAAACTCGTTGGGGCTTGCGGGAAAAATTTGTGTGTCATTTTTTTTTTAAGGGGGAGAAAAAATTTTTTTCCCCATAACTTTTTAACGAATGGTCTCATTTGAAAAATTTCTAGTCTACATGTTCGATAGGTATTGATAAACACAATAAAACTGCATTTTTACTTTTCGAAATATTTAAATTTTTAAAATCGTATATAAGCGCTTGACCGCGCGTCCTCTAAGATTAATTAAACCTGAATAAGGAAATATTCCTGGTAATATGCAGGTCTTATTTCGACATACACGACCCGTTTCCAATTCTTTCTTTGCATTTCAACGATTTGTACCACAAAGGGTTTGTATTTGGCATCACTATCGAAAAATATAAATAAATTTTTTTTTTTTAAATTTACATGAATGGACTCAAATTTTAATTTTAAAAATTGGTCGAAAACCTTAAAATTAAAAATACCACCTCCTAAATACGAATTTTTACCATGGACGTGGAATCATTGGTGGACAATATACATTCTTTTTTTCGAAAAAAAGAAAAGGTTATACAACAATATCAATATCTCTCTGGTCCGCCAGCAAATGCCTTAAAAAAGCAAATATCCTAAAATGTAATTATTTAAAAGTAAACTTGTAGTTTAGTTGCAAAGAAATATAAATTTTTATTACATTTTATATAAGGTATTGAATATAATTTGCTGCCCCCTAGAAACCCATAAAAACACTTTTCTTTTTTACGAACGATATAATAGGTTTTTCTTAGACAATTTTATATTCACGTTCACCATTACTCTAATCACTTTATTGAAAACTTTTTATGACGATTTGAACGAAAAACAAGGATGAGTCTTTGACAAAAACAGCGATTGAAAATATTTGAATAAATATGATAACAAACAAGATTGGAAACAAACTTTTTTAAAGCAACTAGCGAACCTGATGAAATTGATAGTTCGTCCTTTATGTGTCTAACAATTTAACAATATATTTGCCTTCATGACGAGGCCCAAATATGGTTCCCAAATTTAATTTTGTAGCATAAAGCTGCATTCTTTTTATTTCCTCAAGCTTGAAATATCGGTGTGTCGCGACTGAAAAAAATTTACCATCTTGTCCAATCCAATCCTCACTAGATGATTATTAAAGTATTTTTTTATGGTTTGTTTTTCATGTATTACATTAATCGAAAACAGTATTGATAACGATTTATCTTTATTAAAATTTTAGTTTACCAATAAGATAGATACTCTTTTTAATTCATTTTCAAATTCTTCGCGTATTAAAGGTATTTATTTTTACCAACCAAATATGTTTTTTACATTTAACTTTCACGGCTGTTGGTATGCACATCACATTTTTAGTTTAAAAGGGCATTAAAATGTTTTTTTCTATTTTTCGAAAGTTTTACATTAGGACTTTTCTTAGTCATGATATAAAATCCCCAAGTGAAAGCGATATCTTTCGATCGGTATAAAATTCGTTCCAATCGGATCGATCTCCACAGAATATTTTTAATTCAGCAAATTTACATTAATAATTAACGGTGAAAATCCCTGTGGTAAATAATGATAATAACCCTTCAGTAGGAGGTGGCACTAGCTTTTCAGGTCATATTGTATCTCATAACGGATTGTTTAGTACTGAAACTAATTAACGAATTAAGGCACCAAAATAATCATATGTCCTTGTTAGGAGAACCAAATGAAAATCCGATGGTGATTATTTATCATATTACATTTGGGAACATTTGAAATAATATTTTTTATCTGTGTAGCAAGCAGTATTTATACCCGTTACTCGTAGAGTAAAAGGGTATATTGTATTCGTGCAAAAGTATGTAACAGCTAGAAGCAAGCATTTCCGACCCTATAAAGTATATATATTCTTGATCAGGGTCACTAGCCGAGTCGATATAGCCATGTCCGTCTGTCCGTCTGTCCGTCTGTCTGTCTGTCCGTATGAACGCTGAGATCTCGGAAACTATAAAAGCTAGAAGATTGGCATTTTGCATGCAGATTCTAGGAGTTCCTACGCAGCGCAAGTTTGTTTCAAAAAGGTACCACGCCCCCTTTAACGCCCACAATCGCTTATATACGATTTTAAAAATTTACATATTTCGGAAAAGTAAAAATGCAGTTTTATTGTGTTTATCAATACCTATCGAAATGTAGAAAAAATTTTTCAAATCGGACCATTCGTTAAAAAGTTATGCGTGATCAAAGTTTCTTTCTCCATCTCCCTCGCACTCCCTTTACCTGAGTAACGGGTATCTGATAGTCGGGGCACCCGACTATAGCGTTCTGTCTTGTTTTAATTTGTTACAAATTAAAATTTGAATATCGACAAGCCTTGTAATGCTGGTCCCAGATCAGGTGGCCAAGGTCCCCACACCTCTTAACATAATATTAACAACCAAACGAAAACAGAAAATTTTAAATTTGTATTCACCTGTATATAATAACATTTTCGGGTAGATAGCCATTTCTTTTGAGATATATTTGTAGTGCAATTTCAAAAGATGCGGTTAATCCATTAACGATTTCTTCACTTTTTGTTTGAAATACAGCTTTACTAAACCATTGCGTGTATGACGAATTCATAGATGCCACAAATGCTGAAATACAAAATTATATTTACAGTCCAACATTCGAAATAAAAATAAGCAAATTGTACAGCTGAATTGTTGAATTTTGATCAGCTGTTTGCAAACTGTCCCTTACAAATTCAACATTTAGAATCTGTTTTATACTAGTAGAAGGCAGTATTATACAGTACTATAACTAGTATATATTATTTACGGTTGTTAATGGTTAATTCATAAATAAAACAAGAAAGGAAAGCTAGCTTCGGGCGGAGCCGAAGTTGATATACCCTTGAAGAATACTCTGTAAATTATATTATTCAAAATTATTCATATGATGCATTCTTTATCATCATAAAAAATCCCAGCTTCCTAACTTTACAAACACCAAAGTTATGTAATTTCCGATCAATCAGTTATATGGCAGCTATAGGATATAGTCGGACGTTCCGACTGCGTGCAATGGAACGAAAGGTGTATGCAAAGTTTCAATTCGATATCTTTAAAACTGAGAGACTAGTTCGCATAGAAGCAGAAAGACGGTCATGCTTATATCAACTCAGGACGCGATCCTGACCAAGAATATATATACCTTATAGGGTCGGAGATTTCTCCTTCACTGCGTTGCACACCTTTGACCAAAATTATAATACCCTCTGCAAGGGTATAACGAGGACGGAAGCTAACTTCGGCAAGCCGAAGTTTTAATACCCTTGCAGACTTTGCCGAAATTGCTAAAACTGAAAAAGTAGCGAAAGGAATAAGGTATACATAAATAAACTAGATTTGCATCGTTTAAAATCGGCAAGCGCTTTTACCCTAATCAAGATATGCGTAAATAAATAAGACTTGGAAAAATTTATGTCAGTAGCTTACACACTACGCGAAAAATTCAGAAAATCATCAAATTTGGACCGATTTCACCCTGTTGTTCCTATGGGAGCTGTAGGATATAGACGTCCGATCGTCACGTGCTTTTACCCTAATCAAGGTATGCATAAAAAAATACGATTTGGAAAGATTCATGTCAATTGCTTATATACTGTCCGAAATATCCTAAAAATCATTAAATTTTAACCGATTTCACCCTATTGTTCCAATGGGAGCTATAGGATATAGACGTCCCATCGCCAAGGGCTTTTACCCTGATCAAGGTATGCATAAAAAAATAAGATTTGGAAAGATTTATTTTAATAGCCTTTACACTCCGCGAAATATCTTCCATTCTTGAAAGTTATATCGGATTGTTCCTATGGGAGCTATAGGATATAGACGTCCGATCAGCACGCGCTTTTACCATGATGAAGGAATGCATAAAAAAATACGATTTGAAAAAATTTATAGCAATAGCTTTTACACAGCGCGAAATATTCTGAAAAACATAAAATTTGCACCGATTTTACCCTATTGTTCCTATGGGAGCTATAGGATATAGACGTCCGATCGCGTTTCCACGCGCTTTTACCCTGATCAAGGTATGCATAAAAAATACGATTTGGAAAGATTCATGTCAATAGCTTTTACACTGCGCGAAATATCATCAATTCTTGCTAGATATATCCGATTGTTCCTATGGGAGCTATAGGATATAGACGTCCGATCGGGCCGATTTTCAAACTTGATCTGCGTACACATGTTTTAGGACGAGTGTGAAAGTTTCAGATCGCTAGCTTTTAAACTGAGCTCGCAAACGGTATTGAAACAGACGGACAGACGGATATGGCTATATCGACTCCCCTATTGATCCTGATCAAGAATATATATACTTTATAGGGTCGGAGATTTCTCCTTCACTGCGTTGCACACCTTTGACCAAAATTATAATACCCTCTGCAAGGGTATAAAAAGGAGAAGTCCAATAAGCAGTCTTACGCTCATTTATGAAACTCTATTAAAGGATAAAACAACAGAATCATACGGTGATAAGTCAATTACGCTCCAATTGTTCATAACTTCGCAGAAAGTCTGACTTTCTAAGCTAAATCATTCATATATAAGAATGACCGAGATGGTGCGATACCGAACTGAAAATACAATTATCGTCATTAATTAAAAGAATGGTGTGCTAGTTTTAAACTATATGCCAATCGCTTGAAGTCATTTTCAAGTTCAATTTCTGTCTGAATTCGGTAATGATTTTTTTTTTTGGATAAATAAAAATTAGCTTTTATATTTCAAGACTGAGACTTCTACCATTTTGTCTTTGATTAGCTTTTCTACCTACTTAATTACTTCATATTTTTTACTGTGGGAAATTCTATATACCATAATCATCTTTTATACTTATCTTTATTTTAATTATTATATAAAATCTTATGTTAATGATTTTTATCTTTAATTTATCAACTGAAACATGTTTAAAGATATTTTCTCACTGTGCCATTCTGAGTTGGCTGATTTTGTGTTTACTAGCTTGGTTTCATTAGTATACAAATCGCCTTGCGTCCTTAAGGAAAAACAGTTTGTAATAACAAGGTCAAGCTAAGACAAAACGAAGTTTTTTTGTTTTTTTTATTGTGCTTATAAATAAATAAATAGCATTATTTATTGAATCTCCTCCTTTCGATACTAACAATAAGTGTATCAAATTTTATAGTAAACTAACTAACAGTCATATGACTGGTACTGAGTAATGGGGCCCTGAGAATTATTGCTGGGTTGGAAGGTCGTTGCGTTGCAGGCGGGTTCTGCTGGAAACCCGAGACAAGCCTCTTGCGACATGATTTGGGTGCTCGGAGAGTTTTTCTTTGCAGTACGTCTTTTGTTTGTCTATTTCATCTTTTACTGCAAGAATGCCGAGGTCAAACAGTGATAGTCCTCAGGATTTTCGTTTGTGCGCGCTGTATGATGTCAATGTTGCTGTTGCTCGCGTTCTCCCATAGCTGGGAGCCATATGTCCAGGTAGGCTAAAGAGTAGAGTTGTAGACCAGGATACAAGGTCCAGACTCAGGGGCGATCCAATGTTTAATATCCAGTGGAAGCTGCTGGCTGCTGGCTGGAAGCTAGTTTTAGATGTAGTTTCTTGCATTCGATGTGTCTTCTCCAGGTTAGTCGTCTGTCCAGGTAAATCGTCTATATTGCGCTGCAAGATGTGCGTATTTCTGATGTTATTCTTTTAACTTGTTCGATTGTGCCATGGCTTGGACGGAAGACAAATCAATGTGCCGGGCTAGCATTGTGTTTTTCGAACAATTTAGACAGTCACGATAATATACTTATTGTATACTAAAGATTCGGACGGACTAGCGAAATAAATTAAGTCTTAGGGACGTAGGGATCATCGAATTCTTTTGACCACCTGTTAACCAAGCACGCCTCTGGCTTTATTAAGCATGGACAAAATATTATTAGAAAACTTTAGTTTAGGGTCCAAAAGAACGCCAAGATCGTTTACCAGGGTTAATATATCTAAAAAGCTGTCACTTAACGGGTAAGTCGGGTGTTCGGATTGACCCGCTAAATAGGTTGCACTTAAAACCGTTTAAGTTAAGTAAATTATCTCGGCACCAGTTTTAAAAGTTATCTAGATAGGATTGTAACTCTAAAATGACAGGAAATGTCCTTATACTGCAGACATAACTTAACATCATCTGCGTACATAAGTACGCGAGAATTACTTATAATTGAGGGAAGATCGTTAATAAATAATCTAAAAAGAAGCGGACCAAGATGACTTCCTTGTGGGTCACCGGATGTTGCTCGGAGAATTTTCGAAATAGAGTTTTTAAAGAGGACGCTTTGTGACCTGCCATTCAGATAACTTGAAATCCATTGAAGGAGATCAACTAGTAACCGGTCAAGATTCCGAACAAGAATAATTTGTTGCGTCTTCACAGTGAACGGTCGTGTCTTCTAACAACTTTCCGTTCGCTTCGAGAGTGCATCGTGATTAACTTGTGTTTAGAAAATAAAAAGTTTTTATCATAATTTAATTCGGTGCTGTTTTGTTGTTATTGATTTCTATTGCCCCTCTTTTCAGTCTTTCTCTTCGTCGTTGAGCGCTGTTGGAACGGCACGCACTCCAACGGTAATATCTCTCAGAGGCGTTTTATACCGGAGTTAATCTGTTAATAGTCCCGCTCTCTCTCTCTTTTCGTTTCTATCTCGTTTCGTGGTGCCTAACATCAAAGTTATTCGGTGTTTCGCTCCCGCTCTGTCGCTCTTTTTGTTCTCTCATTAAAAAGTTCTTGGGCGCTTTCGATTTTTTTGTCCGCTATAGCACAGTGGTCCGTGGTCAGTGATAATGGCTTTCTATTCTTTAAAAAATTGCAAGAAAGTTATCTCGGCTGGACAGCAAAGTATTCCCTGCCATACATGTGATAAAATTTATCACGCAAAGTGTCTTGGCTATTCTGGCCTGGGTCGCGATGCCATCGATAAGAGGAGTGGCCTACGCTACTACTGCGATGAATACATCGTATACGAGCACCAGGCAATATCTATTAGGCGGCTCACAAAAAGTAATGTTACGGAATTAATCCGGAACAGCCGTAAAAATACGGACCTGCTCATTGCGCTTGAATCGCAGCTTACTAGTCGCATGCTAGCTGAGCCCGCATTCTATGGCAGGTGCCGTGCAACCTGCTGCCCGCGATTCGATTCCAGCTCAGGTGCCAAGCTTAGGCGCCACTCAAATGGTACTAAGATCGGGGCAAAAAGTGATTCAGTACCCGATGTGGCGCCGCGAGGTACTTCCGCTCTGTCCGATCAAAATAAAGTAGAGGCCCCAACACCTCATGTAGACTTAACGTCCGGATTACCGGCCGATATTGGTAGTACAGATACAAATTCTGTAGTACCAAAAAGGGTTGCATGTGTTGTGCCCTAGCTAAAACATGTATTTGTTTCACGGCTCGCCCCAGACCTCTCATCACTGGATATTACGGCTTATATCCGTAACAAAATCCAAGTTGATGATTTGAAGGTCGAACAATTTAAATTTTCTTAAGCTAGGAAAGTATCATCATTTAAGATCGGTATTCCTTGTGCTCTTTTTGCATCTGTGTGTTCCACCAGTTTCTGGCCCGAGGGAT